ATTAAGCTATAAAGGGAGAGTAAAAACAGAGATATAGAGAGAACTCTCAAGGGTTCCCTAACGCAATCTTAGAGTACTCAGGAAGGACAGTTTGGAAGGTCTGCCTGGCAATTGGGATTCAGAGCTCATTGGGAAGGATGTGATTGCTGCCCACGGATGGCAGAGAAGTTTGGGGCGGGGCTGCTCCACAGATGCCACGCAAAGCAGGAAATGATCTTCAAAGATGGACTGAGGCTGGAGAGAGGGAGTCAGGGCCCCACTAGGGGCACAAGGTTGAACGCATGTGGTCTCTGCCTCAGAAGCGCTCCCCAGACCTGGGCTCCAGCTGCAAGCCAGACTGCTCTGGGCATGCAGGTGCAGCAGGGTGTCTCAGGATGGTCGCCCGCCCCATTCATCAGGCAGCTGGTACCAGTAAAACCATAAATCAGCCCAAAGCAACCGGGAAGAGCGATCCCTTTCTCCTGCAACGTCCCTCTAACTCCCTCTACTGGCAAACCTCAGCATCGTCCTTGCTGTCCGGTAGAAAATGCGTCAAGTCCCCTCTCCCAGAACAGGTCCTGAAGAGTGAATTTGGAGGTGCAAGGCAATAAATTGATCACTGGGCACAAGCTATTTTCAGTCATTAGAACAGGGACTGGCAAACTTGCTCTGCAAAGAGCCCAACAGTAAATATTTTAGCTTTCTGAGCCATACCGTTTCTGTGAAAACTCAATTCCGATATTGTTGCACAACCGGTAGTATAGACAACATAGAAACAAATAAGCATAGCTGTGTTACATAGACCTTTATGTACAAAAACAGCCAGTGAGTAGATCTGGCCCACAGATCATAGTTTACCAACTCTTGACTTAGAGTTTTAGATTGAATAATCCCTGCTCCGTGAATAGAATTATATTGAGAAGAAACGGGATAACCCAAGTGCACAGAGCTGAGGTTGGTAGTGGGCACTGAGAAAAACGAATTTAAATGGAGATATAATGTCTACATTGTTGGAGGGGTTTTTTGTCCAAATTAAGTGAGAGCTATGGATTGAATGTTTGGGTGTCCCCCAACTCGAATGTTGAAATCTTAACCTCTGATGTGTTGATCTTTGGAGATGGGGCCTTTGGGAGGTAATTAGGACATGAGGATGGAGCACTCATGATGGGATTTGTGTCTTTATAAGAAAAGACAGGACAGAATTTGCACCCTCTTGTTCTCTCTCTGCTATGAGGAGCCAACCCAAGGGGCTGGCTATGAGCAAGGCTGGAAGAGGAGTCCTCCGCCAAACCCCAGATCTGCCAGCACCCTGATCTCGGACCTCCCCGCCTCCAGAACTATGAGAAACGTTTGTTGTTTAAGCCGCCTAGTGCGAGGTAATTTGTTATAGCTCCCCAGACTGCCGATGAGCTAGGATATTAAAGGATCAAACAGGGTACTTAACAAATCATCATCTCTAAAGGCCTGTGCAAGGCAAAATAACGGTCCCCATTGTGGCCTCCTCTTTTGAGAGGCTCAGAGGAGCTAAGAAACTTGTCTCAAATCATACAGCTTGGGGCGCCTGGGTGGCTCAGTTGGTTAAGCGACTGCCTTCAGCTCAGGTCATAATCCTGGAGTCCCGGGATCAAGTCCCATATTGGGCTCCCTGCTTGGCGGGGTGTCTGCTTCTCCCTCTGACCTCTTCTCTTTCTCTCTCATTCTCTCTCTCTCTCAAATAAATAAATAAAATATTTTTTTAAAGATTTATTTATTTATTTGACACAGAGAGAGAGATCACAAGTAGGCAGAGAGGCAGGCAGAGAGGGGGGGAAGCAGGCTTCCTGCTGAGCAGGCTCCCTGCTGGGGCTCGATCCCAGGATTCTGGAATCATGACCTGAGCCAAAGGCAGAGGCTTTAACCCACTGGGCTACCCAGGCGCCCAATAAATAAAATCTTTTTAAAAAAATCATACAACTTTGTTGAGCTGGCATTTGAACAAGCAGTCTGTATGACTCTTAAGCTGACCTTCCTCACCACCGTGTCCACTGCTTCACCCACAAGGGGCAGGCGTGCATTCCCAAACTGGGCTCCTATCTTTACTGGGTACCATAATAAACTTGGATTTAATGCCTTTGACCTTGGGCAGGCTAGGACTCCCAACCTGAAGGAAATCAGTACTTAACTTGTTTGAAACCCATCTCCTGAAGTGTTCAAGGCACTTCAAGATGAGAGACGAGAGATATTTAGGTGTTTAGTGGTGAAACCTGTCCCCCTGCCCCCACAAACACTGTTGGCCAAGTCAGTTCTCCTGAAGTGGCTAGCTAAAGATCGGTGTCCTATTTCAGGGTCCCCCTTCCCATGTCCTCTCCTTCTGTGACCTTCCCAATTGATGAATCATTCCTTAATCAAACATGGGACATTTGTGGGGCTTCCCCTTAAAGCTTACAGACACTACACCTGTTTCTTTCTCTATCTTGACCATACTTACAAGATGAGGTTTATCAAAATGAATGGTAAATATTTTATCACTGCTTATTGACAGTACATTCATCTAAGTACTGTGCCTATATCTTTCCAGTTTTCACAACAATTCTGGAAGGTAGCAATTATTGTCCCTACTCAGTGACAAAGGTGGCATTTACATAGCAGACATTATTGATCTTTGAGGTAGGCAATGGAATAGGACTCTGTGCAAAGAGAAAACCAAGGTTTGGAGAGGTTGGCTTGCCCTCTCACCTGCACCTAAATCCACATCTCTATATACTTTACTTGTGGAAACACGAAGCATGGTGGCCCCTTCAGGATCATATAGAGCCTCGTCCACATCCTAGCCCCACCTCTTCCTCGCCACCTGACTGATTGCGCCTTTTCCGTACTGAGGGTAGTTCTCCAAAGCATTTCTGGATGTCTTGTAAAGGCTTTTATTCTGGACCATTTTTCCAAGGAAGTGTGTACAGCAAACATCTCTGGGAGATAGAGTTTCCCTCCGGGTCAGAGAAGACTTGCTTTCTGTCCAGGAGGATGAAGATATTGTCCTCCCTCTGGTGTAAAGGTTGAACATGTTTGCTAGTAGCCCCCACTAAAAGATTAAGATTTAGGGTCACCTGGGTGGCTCAGTGGGTTAAAGCCTCTGCCTTCGGCTCAGGTCATAATCCCAGGGTCCTGGGATCGAGCCCCGCATTGGGCTCTCTGCTCCGCAAGCAGCCTGTTTCCTTCTCTCTCTCTGCCTGCCTCTCTGCCTACTTGTGATCTCTGTCTGTCAAATAAATAAATAAAATCTTAAAAAAGAAAAAAAAAATTAAGATTTACTAATGCTCATTTTCCCACCTTCCCCTAACCTCCTGCATTTCAGCATCAACCCCAATACCCACACTGAAGCTGTTTTTGTTGATGTCACCATGGCTTTCATGCTTGTCCTTATTGGTCTCCTTGCTGGACTCCTTCTCCTTGAGCAGCCTCATCAATACCCTTCTTGCCTCCCTTGCAGCTCCTCCAGCCTTTCCTGGGTGATCTCACTCCCTCTACTGGTTTTAGGAACATTGTATATAGGGATGATGTCCTAAACTCTAGCTCCATCTGCTGGCCAGCTCCGCCTCACACTCAAGTGGTCCAAAAAGGAACCCCTCCTTCCCAGGCCCTCCCCATCACCTAATCCTCCCTCCTGGGTCCATGCTCTCACTGGGGTCACCCAGCTACCTCATTGCTCCAGGAAGTCACCTCTATCCGTTCACTGCTTCTCACACCCCCAGGGCCAAGCTATCTTTGAATATTCTTTTTCTATTTCAGGAATCTGTACATGCCCCAGGTCACCCAGACCCACGCCTCCTGCACTCTTCCCCCTTAAGTCCCAATCTTTCCTGCCTTGGGTGACTATAGTGTCCAGCTAACAGGGCTTCCTGCATCCTGTTGACTCCCCCCACACACAAAGCCTTCACTCCATTGTTGCTAGGGTTATGTTCCAAAAATATAAATCCAATCATGTTGTTTCCCTGTTTTCAATCCTTCACTTGCCTCTCACTGCCTATCTGACAGCAGCTAGGTTATTAACAACATAGTTCATTATGTCTCACCCACCTGCCGAGCTCCTCCTTCCAGTCCTCCTCCCATCTGTCTTCTATGGCCACTGCCACTCCAAATGGGGAAAAAAGGTGGGGAGGAGGTGTCTCAAAATAACACTCATCAAACAGCCCTAATTGGTTCTAATGTGTGTTACCTGGAACCCGAAAGTCCTCCAAATTTACATTAAACACTAGTCACACATTTTCTGACTGTCTCAAACCTACCTGGACGTTCTTAGTTTTTCTTGAAAAAATAAAATCATAGTTTGGATTAGGAACCCTATTTCTATGCAATTATTCACTATCAAGTTTCTATGTCTCTCAGGGTCCTCTTGAGAAACAAGCCAAGCTATTCCTTCATTCTACCCAGTTGAGGTGCTTATGGAATAGGGGTTTTCAGCAGATATATCCACCGTGTGTGTGTGTGTGTGTATCCATCTCCAAATATATATATATATATATATATATATATATATATATATATATCCGTCCCCACCAAATACATATATATACATCTCCCCTCAAATATACATACATACATATATATACACATATATATCCATCTCCACCAAATATATATAGATCCACCTCTCCCAAATATATATATATATATATATATATATATATATATATATGGAGATAGATAGATCTCCATCCGCACCAAACAACATATATATCCATCTCCGCCAAATATACATGTATTTCTCTTCAAACCAACACCCTTGAACGTCCACCAGGAGGCGCCGGGGGCGTCGCCAGACCTGCGGTACCTTCACCGTTGGAGAGAACGCGAGGGATGCAGCAGCGATGGAACCCGGCTTCCTTTTTCAAGAACCAGTGTGAGGGAAAGGAGCAGAGCCGCGTTATTTTAGGGAGACCTTGTCGCACACCCCCTCCCGCGGGTAGGGAGCGTCTGGGATGTGTGCGGGCCCCATGGAGAGACGCTGGCGGTGGCTGCGGTGGCAGCTGGGGCTCCTACCGCGGCTGCAGCCGGCAGTAATCCGACCCCGCGGGCGCGGGGATTGAATACGCGCAAGGGAGAGCGGCGAGCGGCGAGCTGCGAACAAAAGCCCTCGGCGCGGGGCCCAAGCCCGGGACGTGCGGTGAGTGAACCCGCCCTGAGACCCGGGAGCTGCGGGCACTGGTGGCCGGGCTAGCTGAGTCCCCAGAGCCCACCTCGCTGCTTTACGGTAGGGGGACTCGGAGGGCATCCAGGGGCAGGTGTCGGAGCTTAGATGGGGTGAATGGTGCCTTTAGCACGTTCAGACTTGGAGGAGATCGGGTGCATTTGAGAGGACCCAGGCGCCTTCTCCATCCCCAGCAAACACCGGGGGTGGGGGTAGGGGGACCGGCATAGCTCCCAGCAAGCTCTGTCCAAAAGACAGAACAAGAATCGAACACCTCTCCCGGGCAGGCCTTTTGTAATTGAGGCATTTGTTTCAGCCCTTCCATCAGCTCCGGGCCCCGGGCCTGGGTCTCCTTTGGCAGGGGGCAATCATGTAATATACATCATGTAAATTTAATCATACAAATCACAGGGCCTCTGAGCCTAATCCCAAATAAACTTCTTCCCTAGGTAAATGGGGTCCTCGCAGCCATGCACTTTGAGGATGAACAGGCTTCTTCTCTTTTTTTTTTTTTGTTCCTGCAAAGCTGCATCCCCGGTCCCCGCCTAAGCTACAAACAAATACACTAATCCTCCCGGGAATCCTCCACCGCCTCCCTGGCCGGCTACTGCCTGCACCAGGATCTTTTCATCTTAACTTGCAGCAGGAAGGAGATGCATCCAGCGGGCCAGACGCCCTGGGGAGCCGGGCCCCAGGCCCTTGCCCCGCACACCCAGGCTGAGGAAGGTTGAGGCTTTTCCGGTTGCACGGTCTCATCCCTCCTACCCCTCTCCCCAACCCCCCTCCACCATCGCCTGGGTTTTCAGGGCATTGGTATTATGATTTACGTCCCACCGGGCCTCTGAGCCTAATCCCAAAGCTGATTAAGTTGGGGGTGGGGGTATGTAAATGGGGCGGGGGGGGGACTGCTTTCATGTATTCCTCGATGTCCCTACCTTGTCTTGCACAGGGACTCCACAAAAGGACAGGACTCAGCCATGGTGGACCCGGTGCCGGAAGAGGAAAAGGAGGGAGCCGAGCCTGAAGGTTCGGATGGGGCCGCAGCCGCCGCACCTGGCCCCCCGGAGGCACAGGGTGCCCAGCAGCCTGCCGCCTCCTCGGCCTCAGCCTCCGCCTCGGCGGCGGCGCCCCGCAAGGCTGAAGTCCCGAGCGCAGCGGAAGAAGGCGGTCGGCGGGAGCAGTCTCCGCTGCTGCACCTGGACCTCTTCAACTTCGACTGTCCGGAGGCCGAGGGCAGCCGCTACGTGCTGACCAGTCCCCGCTCGCTGGAGGCCTGCGCCCGCTGCGCAGTCAAGCCCGTGGAGCTGCTGCCACGGGCCCTGGCAGACCTGGTGCGCGAGGCCCCGGGCCGCTCCATGCGAGTGGCCACCGGCCTGTACGAGGCCTACGAGGCGGAGAGGCGCGCCAAGCTGCAGCAGTGCCGGGCCGAACGAGAGCGCATCGTGCGCGAGGAGAAGCGGCGCCTCTTCACGCCCTTGGGGACTGCGGCCACCGCCGCCTCGGTCCCCGGCGCGGCCGGCAGCAGCAGCAGCTGCAGCAGCGCCAGCCTCCCGGGCTCGCCCGCGCCGCGCGCCACCCGCAAGGCCTCTTCCAGCCCATCTCCCGCCCGGACGCAACCACCGCCCGCAGCTTCGCGGGCGGGTAGGAAGAGCCACTCGCTAGACTCGCTGTCCCGCCGGCGCGAGGGCGCCCTCAGTTCTGAGTCTGGCGCGTCGTCGTCCTCCTACAGCGGGGAGAGCCTGCGAGAGCTGCGCTGGCCTCCGCGGGCCTCGGCCAGGAACAGCTGTCCGGCGGGCTCCGCGTCCTCCGCCCCCAACCCCCTGGGCCGTCCTTCCGCCCTGGCCTTGGTGCCGCTCACAGGCCGCAGCTTCAGCCTAGGTGACCTGAGCCACTCTCCGCAGACAGCTCAGCATGTGGAGCGCATCGTGCGCCAAGTGCGCGCCGAGCGGGGCCTGCGCGGGGTGCCGGACCGCGACAGAAAGATCGCGGCGCTAATGCTGGCGCGCCACCAGGAGGAGCGGCTGCTGCTGGAGCAGCGCGCCGCGGCGCACGGCCAGTGGGAGCAGCAGCGCGTGCGGGCGGAGCAGCGACGGGAGCGCGAGGAGCGGGAGAAGCAGCGCGCGCTGGAGCAGGGCCGCCGGGCCTGGGCGGCGCAGGTGGAGGAGCGGCGTGGCCGTCGCGGGCGCGAGGAACGCGAGGAGGCGCGGCGGCGGCAGCGGGAGTGCGAGCGCAGCGAGGAGCGGCGGCGGGAGCTGGCCGAACGCCAGGGCCTGCTGCGGCGGGAGCGGGTTGAGCGCGCGGCCCGGGAGGATCGGCTGCGCAAGCTGCAGCAGGAGCAGAACCTGAAGCAGCGGGAGGAGGGCCTGCAGGAAGGGCGCGAGCGGGCCGAGTTGGTCCGCAGGGAGCGCGCCCAGCGCGCGGCCCGCACCAAGCAGCGGCAGGAGGGCCAGATGCTACGGGAGAAGCGGGAGCTAAGCCGGGCGGAGCGCGCGCGCCACGAGGCGCTGCTGCAAGGCCGGGCCCGGCAGGAGCGCGCGGAACGAGAGGACTTGCGGAGTTCCCTAGAGGCCAGCTTGGGCCGCGCGCAGGATAACTACGAGCAGCTGGTGGAGCAGCGCGCGCGCGAGCTGCGGGAGCGGGCCCGGCGGGAGGAGTTGCAGGGCCGGCGGGCCAAGGAAGTGGCGGAGCGCAAAGGGCGCGAGCACCAGGCGCACCTGGAAGCGCTGGCCCGGGCCGGGGAGCGGCGGCTGCAGCACGCTACGCAGGCAGCCGAGGAAGCTGTGCAGCAGAAGGCAAGGCGCGTGGGCCAGAGCCGGTTGGAGAAAGAACGAGCCCAGCGCGCCAATAAGGAGAAGGTGGAGAGGGACGAAGACTCCCGCCGGCGGGAGCTGCTGCAGGCCATCGGGCGCAAGCTGGAGCGGAGCGAGCAGCTTTCTCGAGAGCGGCGGAGCGCACTGGAGACCGCCCGCTCCACGGCCCGGGCCTCCTTCCACGTGCGGGAGAAGGTACGCGAGGAGACCAACACGCGCTCCTTCGACCGCATGGTGCGGGAAGCCCAGCTGCACGCCAGCCTGGACCGCAAATGACCACCGCCCTGGGCTGGCCAGGCTGCCAGGCTCAGCCCTGCGGGGCCTCCCTTGGCGTTTATGACCAGACTAGGGGAGTCTTCCGTTGCAGCTCAACGCCCTGGCCTCGCCAGGGTCTTGACCAGTGAGGCAACGAGAGGACAGAGAGACCTGCCAGCCCACCGCCTTTAAAAAAAAAAACGGACTTCTTTTGAAAATGACATAGCACAATCTTTAACCACATCCACCCTGGGTGGCTCCTGCAGCGGCCCTTGCCATGCTTCCCAGTGTGTCTTTGGGCTTGGAATAGAAAAAGAGCTGGGAGAGGAGGGCTGAATGGGGACGAGGCAAGGGAGGGCCTCTGTAGGAGAGGGTGTAGCGGTGGCCGCCCCCTTCTGCAGCAGTCAGCCTAGGCACCTTCCCGCATATTGTTGTCTGGGGTGACATTGGTGTCTGCTGCTGAGGTGGCCTGGCCTTGGCTCCCCTCCATCTTTTTAAATAATGGCAAGTTGCACAAAGCTCAGAGGCCTCGCAGAAAAGCACAGCTCTTCCAACGTGTTAGACCACACCAAGGGACGCCAAAAGTGATTGGTTTTTGTATGCTTGACTTTTAATCTGCCACTTGAGCAAATTCTGGTTTCAGTTATGGTAGTTTTTTGGTTGATTCCCCTAGGCCTTCTAGTTAGACAATCATCTGCAAATAATGATCCATTTGTGTCCCCCCCCCCCACCCCTTATTCTCCCCAGCGACACAAGAAATCGGTTGGTTTGGTGATGCTGTTTGGCTGTAGTGGAAGCCCCCAGCTCCTGGGGGTGATGAGTTCCCTAGGCAGCATCATTCCCCCCGATTCTGTTTTCTTGCAGGGTAGCTTCAGGGGAGGTCGTGTCTGATGCCCACCTCCCAGTGTGGAGCCCACTCCTCAAAAGACAGCAGCCATGCCTTATGAAGCAGAGCTACCTACCTTATGTGCCTGCCCAGGCCGATCCTCTCTCAGTTTCCAGCCGTGGGTGCAGTCCCGAGGGTGGGCCCAGCGGAATGGAGCTAGGTTCCCTTGGTGAAGGAACCATCCAGCTGCCGTCAGGGTAATCTGTGGTGGCTAGCCTTGCCGCTTTGCTGTGGAGAGTTGTGGCCGCTATGGTTGGTAGTATAGCTTGCCCTCCTCCCTCACACGAGGAAAAGGAGAATGTTCCCCCTTAAGGTCCTGGTTCCCTCTCACCTTTGCTGAAAGTGTCAAATCATTCTTTCCGTGCCTCACCTTCCCCACTGGCCAGATGGGGCTGTCAGTACTCTTCTCCTGGTACCTCAAGGTCTTCTGGATCCAAAGCACCGCCTCAGTATTATTTGCTGGTCTCCCTTGTGCCTTTCTTGACCTGGAGTAGAGAGGCAGGAGGGCTGCCATTGGCCTAGTTCTAGGAACATGAATTCCTGGGCATTGGAAGGGGCAGTGCGTCACAACAGATAATCATTTAGCTTCTGGGGGAAAATATTTGCAAGACCAGGCCACCTCCTGGTCCAAAAAGTCCCACTCAGTTGTCTTCAGGCAACTTTAATGTCTAGAGTGCTTCCTTCCCATGAAGCTGAAATTAGCCCCCAGCCATATCCACCCACTGACTCTGCCTTCATCACAGAAAACATTACATTTTACACTAAATCAGGATCAGGAAATAAAAGTTACCAAAAAATAAAAATAAGAAAAGAATCAGGGTAGAGAACTAGTATATTAGACATGTTTCATGTATATTCTGCTGGACAGAATTTTCCCTGAAATGTCTGGTATTACACACACACACATACACACACTTCATCCATACCTCCTTCCCCGGTTGCATGCCAGCAGGTGCAAAAGCATTGTGTAGAAAGGAGCAATATTTCGGTGTTACACAGAAGCTGTGCCAAGGTTTATTTCTTGAATGGCTGAATTTTCTCCTCTGATTTTCTTCTTGTCGGTAACCAGATTATCAGTGAGCTAGCTGGAATAATTGGTATTGTCTGTGAGTCAGGGGCATTTAACTAAAAGGTTAATTTGATACTTACTGGTTCTTACCTTGTGGCTCCTGATTTCCCAGAGAGCTTTTGAAACCTGAATAGAAAATTCCATCTCAAACTACTTTCTTCCAAAGTACGTACATTCATTTGAGAAGGACACAATCTGATTTTCTGGATAACGCACTGAAAGGTACACAGGTGATCTTACCTTGCCCTCTGTTCAGTTTGTTTGCTGACTTACTGAGTGACTCTGGATAGATCACCTCTCTGTGCCTTGGTTTCCCCACCTGTGGAAAGGGTATCGTGACTTCGGACCTCCTCAGCACTGTGAAGATGAATCAGAATCAAGTGGTTTCTCAGCCCTGTGACTTTAGAACTGCAGGTGGAATGGCCAGACAGAAGGGATCATGTGACTGGACTATGCCCAGAGAGTACAATGTACTGTCGTGATCTAGTGCAGAAAAGAATGGTCTCAAAAAGCACATTGCTGCTACCTGGAATTTAAATAAAGCTTAAAAAAAGAAAGCAAATTGCAGATCATAGTGTCCCATGTGATGCAAAGGCCCAGGTCTGAATCTGAATGTCACCAAATTAGAAGTTTGCACTTAAGAGAAGAGCACTGTGTAAAGGAAAAAAAAACTTGGATAACAAAAACAAAAAACCCAAAAAACAAAAGAGTGAGAGAGATTCACACAGCTAAGTAAAACTAAGACAAAAACAGAAGTCAAACATAGTCATCATAAAGAATGATTCTTCTAAATTTCAGACCATCCTCTAGAATATGGACCCATCTCTATATCCTAGGATAAATGGTCATGTTGCCCTTTGAGGAGGAGAAATTTCCAGAATCCTTTGTCGGGCCCTTCATTTATATTCTCTTTAACATGATACCAGAGAGAAGTGGTTCTTACTCTGAACCATAGCAAGGGACAGTTGGAGGGTTGGGGGGCAGTGGGGATAGTGGGTGGAGAAAGGAGTACTTCTCCTAATGTAAACATTTTAACAAGTGCCCAGAACTGACCTCAGAGCACCATGCTGGAAATTTTCTCACCATCCAGGAAATTGCAGCCCCGACGCGGTCTCAGACCTTCATATTTGCTTTCTTGGAGCGTCCCCTGGCTCCGAAAAGAGAAAACGTGAAATAGAGTAAGAAGGGAAGGGTTGGAAGAAGACTTTGTTTGGTTCATTACCAAGGAAACAAGCAGGACAAAACTGTTTCAGGTGGAAACGTCAGTGAAGCTAGCCCAGCGCCCTGCTCAAGCAATGACCAGTGCCTATACCACCTCCAGACAGGAAGATGAACGTTTCCCTCCAGAAGCACACGGGCTGAATCTTTAAGGGATTTGCCAAACGTGAAGAGTGGATGGAGGAGTGAAGTCATATCATAATGCAGTTTGTGTTCAAGCTCCTCTGTAAAGGTCACCAGTTATCATTCCTCACCTTTAAAAAGTCCCTTGAAACAGGGGTGCCTGACTTTGCATCAGGGGCTGTATATTGTTTAGCGTCGAATCCCCTCTAGCTCACAGTTTAGCATCTCACATACGGTATACACATAAATACTAGATGGAGAGAGGGAGGGATAGATGGTAGATGGCTGGTGGACAACTGACTGGTGATCCGAGGAAATCTGTGAGGATAGATTGGGTGGGCAAGCCTCCATTCATTTGACAACTTTACTTTGAACCTCTGCTGTGTGCCAGGCACTGCTTTTGATGCTAGGGAGACAAAGTCCCATCCCTGACCCTGGGGACCATTGATGCTTCACGGTCATGAGCAGACATCTACCTGTATGTCCTCATTGGGCTTAACTACCTTCCCACCCTGGCATCCATCCACGGGCAGATCTGATGGTCCTTTAGGCAGTAACTTCAAGCTTTTTCAGTTTTCTGAGGACACACCATCTGCCAACCATGACACCATCACTCAGTCCCTGTTGTTCTCTTTCCCTTGATTAACAAGGGGCCTTGATTAATCAGGTCGAATTCATAAGGTCATGTACTTAATCAGTTTTAAATTACAGTCAAGAGAGAGTGAGAATAATTACCTTCAAGGATGTTATTTGTCATGACGTTAACAAAGGCAGCATAAACAATGATTGTCAAAAGAAGAAAGGTAATGATCGTCAGAGAATGAGCCTCGGGCCGTGCAGAGTCCCAGATCACCAAAACAGGGTACCAGCCTCATCATTCGACTGTTGGTGCTGAGACCAGAAACTCAACATTTCGGAAGCATTTCCAGCTTCAAAGTTCCAACAAAAAGAGATTGCGGATCAATACTAAACTGATGAGAACTGTTAGTGAAGTAAATATTCTTCTTAAGACTTCAGGTGATCAAGGCTGCCCGCAGGTTGCTCTGTAGACTTGCCTTTTCTCCACCATACGCCTGCCATCTCCAGCCCGCACTTCCCCTGGAAACATATAGCAGATGAACACAGGGAAACTTGGTGTTTCTTGACAGGGCCTGGAAAGCAGCTTTCGGGGACCCAGCAGATAACTCTCCATTCTAGAAATGTGGTTTGGGCCCCATATGAGATCCACATTTGGCTTCGGTTGTCTGATGTAACACCTGCTGTATTCTGACCAATCACGTGCTTTCATTATCGGACTGTATAGAAGAGCACCTGGTCTGTTCACCTGTGTCTGCTGTTCCACGGAGCTCTGGTGCTCCCTCTGGGTGCACCTCTTCCCAGCCCCAGCCATCCCTTCACATGTCCCTTCAGACTGGGCCCTGGTGTTGCTTAGGCTTCCCATAAGTCAGGCCTGGGACAGAAGGTGGGTTTAGTAGCCGATGTTAGGACATAGAGGGGAGGGTGGTTTCCTTTTGAGAAACAGTGATGATCATTGTTTGCCCTGTTGTTCCTTCCTGATTCATCAAATACTGTCGTGTCCCATGTGAGTACAGACTTAGTCCAAAGTGATTTTTTAATTAGCTGCCATTTTGAAGTGTTCATGCCTTTCTTCCTCTCCACTAGTACAGTTTTGATGGCATGTTCTTGTGTCAGACACTTGCACAATTCATAGGACTGTCAGACAGTAGATCCATACCCACTCCTGTGTTTGAGTGTGTCTGTATGCGCACATGCACACACACACACACACACACACACACACACACACACACCTACCAGTTCCAGCATCCACGTTCCTTCAGAGGGAGGGAAATGGTGGGCGTATTCTTCCAGGGGAGGCTAAGCTCTGGAGAAACT